ATCCATAAATGACGTCACGCGATTTTGGACGATTTTTTACCCTCCCCCCCCCTTCGTCACACGGCGTCACAAAAAGTCAGACCCCCCCCCCTCAAATATGACCTCACAAAGCTCTGCCCCCCCCCCAAAAAAAACATGCTTAAAATCACTTGAAACTATTGTCATTGTAGTGCTTATTTAATGTGGCGCTGCACTCTGATGTTGTAGGAGAAAAACGTATTAAAACGTCTATTTAATTAAGTAGAACGTGTTGCCTATATTTATTTAACTTTGCGCAATTTTGATGTGACGTCACGTTTCTCAAACCCCGATCCCCCAACGTCACACATCGTCACAAATGTCTGACCCCCCCCCCCTAGGTGCGTGACGTCATTTATGGACGGCCCCTAGGTGCACGATGCAATTTCGGTGTAGTTGATGAGGTGTGATTCTGCTGAGAGCTGGAATCACATCCCTATCGACGCACTACCCCGCTGCTATTGCGCCGCGCCATATGTCCCGATACGCTCGTGCCCTGTCGCGCCCCTATCGAGCTGCCTTCCCAATTTTTTTGCAATCAAGCACGGCCACAGGAAATCACTTATTCAATTGGTGAAACATTTGACGGCAAAGATGGTGCGTACGTGTGTGTGTGTGCGCGCGCATGCATACGTGTGATTTTAGCACCGTCTATGTGTTATGGGAAGCAGTGGCATAATGGTGAGTGCACTGCACTACGAACCAGCTATGGATAAATCGTCCTTAAGTGCATCATGTGGTTAACATCAGCACTGGGGAGACAAAAGCAGCCGGGTTTGATGATGAACACACCAGTTCCCCACGCGCCATGCCAACCTTCAAGGGTGCTTGCTAACAGCATTTGGCTCAACAGTCTGTATGGCGATTTGGAAAGTCTTTGCTTTTTGTTCACATGTATGATTGTGTGTATGTGTGAGGTCCATCTCAGCCTCAAATAATTACCTCGTGTGATGTGTAAACATCACCACTTGGGAGACAAAGGTGGCCGGTTGTGCTGTCCACCCACCCCCTCGTGTGTCATGCCGGCTTTCATAGGTGCTCGCGAACAGCACTTGCCCCACCAGTCTGTTGAGGCTATACGGGGGATCTTGGTCATCGTTTTTCGTGCATGTGAATGTGTGTGCGTGGCTATGTGTCCACGTGTATCTATGTGTAATGACGACTTGACACACTTCGCTTGAGATGACACTTTATTGAAGACGCGTTCACTTAACATCAGCGGAGACCCCACTGCAATAGCCCCGAGTCTCCCGCGCATCTCCCTTTTATACCAACTGAGGCCACGCCCCCCTTCCTGAACCTTCTCGCTGACTCTGGGAGGTTCACTCCACCGGCAGACTCCACCGTCCTCTTCCGTCACCTGACCACGCTCCCTTCTCGATCATTCCCGTAGCCACCAGTCCCTTTGCACTCGCAACGGATACCCCTGTCATTACCTCCCGTGGCCACTAGTTCACTCGCACTGCAGGCTGACTCCCTTGTCATTACCTACTGTGGCCACTAGTGCATTTCGCACTGTAAGTTGTCATTACCTCCCGTGGCCACTAGTTCACTCGCACCGCATGTAGGCTCTATTGTCATTGCATATGTATATATACATGTGTATATATGTTTGGCTATGCGTTTATGTATATATATGTACAGTGTGTGTATGTTAAACTTCTTCTGAACCATGCTCATCAGTCTACCATGCTAATTGGAGGTGTGGGGGAAGGACAATAAATTAAACATTAAAAATTGTTCTAAAGAAATTAGTTTCAAATCTAGATTATTTAAAACTGCATAGCTCCAATGACCATTTTCTGTGGCAGTATTGCACTCGGATCGCATTGCAATCAGTTGCATAGGGGTTCACCTCGGATGATTGGTGATGATAGATGAGGGTGCAACCCAATCACACCCCCTATTAATGACAAATACCACCAAGATTTCCGTGTGCCTTATGTATGTTGACCTTATTTTGCACCGTACGTAGCCAACCGTCTTCATTAGAGGTGCACCTACAAGTTATGTTTTCACACTAGAAATGTTGATTTATTTTTTCTGTCTTTCTGATAAACAAAGCTTGAAGCTGATGGCAGACATCCCGGGGAGACACAGCCGAGGGGTATAACTACAACATAACACCTTTTAGTTTGGTGCGTGCATGTTCCTTTATCAAATTAATAATTTCGGAGAGCCAAAGCGACACCATCACTTTTTGTAGCGGCGCGTAGGAAAAGCCGGGTAACCATGGTTTGGGAGCATCAATTGCAGGCGTCAGGGCACACAGACCTGACAAGTCTGTGAGAAAAAAGAAGAACAGATAAATTGCCCCTGCAAAGTCAACCCTGCCATGGCCGATAATAGCAGCGGGCGAGTAATCGCTTTTGAAGGCGTACATAGCCAACGTGTTTCTGATTGTCGGAGCTTTGATGAAGGTGACATCGGTGGCCCATTATAGAATAGTGTGTGTGGCATTTGCTCTGGGGGAATGCGGATAAGTCAACAAAGCCAAAACGAATATCAAAGTAAGCCCCCATTATACAATTGAGTTGTGTTGTCAGTGGAATATATGAGTATCTGACACGTAGGCTGTAGCGACCAATATTATCCATGAAGGTTTTTGGGTTAGATCGTGTGAATATATATGTGTCGTTAAATCCGCCACCACTTGACACACGGTAATTGCAACCAGCTTCAACTGGTCTCATTTTGGTTGTAAATGCTGTGGGTTTACTCTCCAACACACTGGTGTGCTGAACTAATAACTATTTGACACGTTTTGTTCACGTGACAAACCTTACTAATTGGCTGTGTCGGGTGGTGGAATTTGTTCAAGGGCACATTTATATTTACGCGATCTCACCAAAAAACCTTTATTATGGATACATGAGCATTGTATGAACTTATCATGAATAAACCTGCACCAACAGCATGCAACAAGTGGGTGATGGGTGGGTAGACTAATGGGTGAGTAGGTTGATAGGTGGATAGATAGATAGGTGGGTGTTTAGGTAGGTGGCTACGTTTTTTAGGTAGGGATGTTGGTAGGTAGCCAGATGAACAGATTGGTAGGTGGGTGAGTAGGTAGGCAGCCTTCAGGGTAGGAATGTAACAGTCCTCCATAACGGTCCCCACAACATCACTGACGTCAATCCTTGCACTGAGTTCATTTGCAGTAACCTCGAGGTATGAAGAAAGGGGATTGGTAGCTGGAGATGAGGAGGCATGGATGAGGGGAGGGGTAGGGAATGGGAGAGGGAGCCATGGGAATAAGAGGGGACGTCGGCAGGAGTGACGGTGGAAGGAGGGAGCTGTGAGTGAAGGAGAGAGAGCTGTGGGTGAAAGAGGGCGCTATGTGTGGTAAATGTAGAATAAAGCGACTCGAACCCTTACCTGTCTCCGTGTGTTGGTGAGGAGAGTGGCTACTACAGGTAAGTAGGTAGTGGGTGAATTGTGCGGTAGGAAGGTTGGTCCATTGTCAAGTAGATATGTGGCCATAAAAAAGAGCAGTGGAGTTTATCACCACGATGTCTCCTTCATATTTGTGGATCGGACATTGCGTCGTTATATGTTGTACGGTCTGTCCTGGACAAGGACAGTCGCACATTACTGGAGAGTTTTTATTTATATTCGTGCACCAGGTACCCGCAATATTAAACGGTGTGTAAAGTGGATGTGGTTTACAGTGAACTCTGTCTGAACTCTGAACTGGCCTCAATGTGCCGACATGGCCATGAGCCACCCAGCCCGCCTCATCGTCCCACAAAGTTCTGATTAATCACAACACGGCAATTTGTAAGTGCCAGCTTGGGAGGAGAGCAATGTGACTGCACATGCTCTCCACATGTCGGGAAGTGTGATATTACCCCTCCAGGCGCCACGGGGAAAAAAACAATTCAGAAAACGCTGAACACGCTGTGTTCTTCATCGACTGTGATTTGCTTTGTGGGAAAAAAATTGAAAGGAAAAAAAAACATGTCTCTCTACAAAACTACAGCTATCTCACTGTGTCTAATTCCTTTCCGTACCAACAAAAGTAACCATGGCATTTAAATAATATATATGTGTGCTTGCACTTCTAACTTAACTTTTTTTTGGGAACCTGAAAAGTGTTTTTTTATGTCATCAAAATTCCATTAAAAACAACTGTTCAACTGCAATGTTATTTCATATTCGAAATCGGGTGAAATGAAATTGGCGTGACCAACTTGGTTTCATTATAATAATAATGTCGAATCACCAAGTGCTGATATGGCAGGGCTGAATTCTTGGGTTTGAATCCAAGCAGCCACCTGTAATTAAATCGGTCTCTCAAATCCAGTGATTTAATTTCCTCAGCCTGACTATCAATGACTGTGTCCAACAATCCCATCACATTGAAGCTCAGCATTGAATTTGGATGAATTTCAGCTCTGAGAATAAAAAAAAAATATCGGTTTGACCATCATGCAATGAACGTTGCTCTGTGTTCATAGGCTGTGGGAAAATTCTGCCCATGGTTGTGTGGACCAGATAGTAATAAGTCAGATTTTCTCCTTGATCAGACACGCATGGATGGAGTTCACCTTCAACTGGTTTGATTTCCAGAATCTTAGCGGTGCCAGCTCATTGCCCTGGCATCCATCGTGCGAGCTCCCCAAGCCACCTGACCATCTCAAACACGTGTGTTTGTAAAAGCCGCATGGCAAGGAATGTATTGTTATTAATGAGCTAGGTATAGACATTGTATTTCATGGCGAGTTGAGCATTATCAAATTGATGACTATCATGGACATAAAGTTCATGGACCTGACGTGGATAACTAAGGATGCATGTTGTTCTTGGTAATCCTGAACACACATGATCAACAATTACACGCGTGGGTTCATATAACATGAGCAACCGATGTTGTCCACTGCCAGGAGTCAAACCTAGGTTGGCTGTGTTGTAATACATTTCGCAAATGACTTCCCTGTCGCTTTCACAACCCGCGTGCCCGTTTTTTTTAATCTGAACAGCTGTGCCCCGGACCAGCGCCACCCAATGCAACTCCGTTCCTGAGCCTAAGTTTGGCCGACGGATGGGCAGCAATTTTAGTGCTGGAGCTTTGCTCAGATTCGAATGCAACTCTGGATATATTCTTCAAGGTGCGAAGGCTATCGTGTGCCAAAGGGTGCCAAACGCCCTTGCTCAGTGGAATGACACCCTGCCCGCCTGTGTTGGTAAGCTCTCGTTTGATTTAATTCCATTTCTACTTCTCTCACGTTCTCTCTGTGTTAATCTTCATTTACGATGGGTAGTCGGAAATTCAGTGGCCTGACGTTAAATTATCGTGATGAAAGAGCTTCTTAGCTCATTCGATTACTCCAGGATAAATATTCTAATTCCAATGTACTAGTCACAACTGCTTTGCTTCTTAAAAGCATTAACACATTCCACAGCAGTAGATCTACCCTGCAATGTCTTACACAGGTGCAAAATGCATCTTGTTTGTGTGTTCACTGAAACTTTTGGAAAGATCAAAAGTCCATAGAAATTTGGAGAGATTAAAAAAAGAGAGATAATCCTGGGAAATGCAGAACCCCCGCCGCTGCCCATCTAACACTGCCCAGGATAGTGACACATCAATACACAGTTAAAGCATCACTGTCAGATTTGTGTTTTTGTTGGAGCCAATGTTATAAATATCAGTCATTGCATTTCCCTCCAGGCCATAGCATTTCCGATCGCCCTTTGTGATTGTCCAGGCTTGTTTCGTTGGTTCAGTGGCTAAAGCACTTGACTTGCAATCAGAAGGTTGCATATTGAAATCCTGGTTGGGGGGATGATTCAGCCAGTGACTCAAGATGGGTCAATAATATCAGTATCATGCTGTGGGACGTCAGCGGTGATCATCCCCTGAAGTGACCAGGCCCTGCTCTGATAAGGTAGAATTTTCACTCTGGGCTCAAGGCTGATATTGAAGGTGATTTCTCCCCCCATTGTTCGTCTGAACAGAGAGTAAACATAATCACGTGACTGTTTTTAACCTCAGAATGCCTTTAAATGTCTAAATTATAAACATATTCATCAACTTTGTACGAATGAAAGAACATTAGTTCTTTAACGGCAACATTTGGGAATTCTTACATTAAAAATGTGTCTTCACCACTTTGGAAATACCACTTCAATATATTTCTTCCGGTGATAATTAGTGCTTAAGCATTCTATGGTCACAACTGAAAGTGAGAAAACATTTTAAGCAGTAGTTAATTGTCATGGATGGATTGACCCCGTCCTAGGAATTTGGATTTCTGACCACTGGCTGGGGGCTAGCTACTAATTGCCCTTCCAGTATTTAATTAGCATTCAACATAATGCAATGTGCAAGTATTATGGTCACTGAATTCAAGAAAGAAGATAATAAATTCATTAATTAATGGAAGCAGCTTAATACATGTTTGTGAGAATAAAATAGTCTCATGCTGTCCGATGGAATTAGTATTTAATTGATGTAAAATCCAGTTCACTCAACTCTATTACAAATACATCATGTGAAGGTTAGGCTCATGGCACTCATGATGGGCATCTATAAGCTTTGGGCCAGCACTTAATAAAGCATGGGTTCTCATCTGGCTTGTTAGAACCACGAATAAACCAGGATTTCCTGGTGAACTAGAGTGATTGAGGGTCTAAGCATGGTCCCTGATTATGGTGAGATTAATTAACACACCGTTATAAATTCGCTTTTGTATATTTTGAGACCAAACTGATTTGAAGAAAGAACAGACGTATTATCCGTTTATTAAACGTATATTATAGGCCAACAAAACCATGAAAAGTAGTTGTATTTGGAAAATGTTTTTTTTTCTACTATTGACACATACTCCCATTCACGTTCTACAAATGAAAAATGGACGTCAATAACATTCTGCTTGGCCTTAAAATAATAATTTCAACTTGTAACGCGCATACAGCATTCAACTCACTCTCGAAGAGAAAAAACGACTCTGAGATGCAAAGGGGAAACACAGACGAGCGGGAAAGGCAGCCAGGTTGTGAGCCGGCACCATGCAGAATCATCCCCCAAAACTCTGCAGTCCTCGATATATTAAGGTGTTACCGGCCAATGCATGAGTTTTTATATATGGGAGGAAACCGGATCATCCAGATAAAACTGACCCGTGTGAGGGGCAACTCCCTATCCCATCTAAATAGAACAGATGGAGATTAGTCCACACCTGATGGCAAGCCACCAGATATGACACATCGACGCCCACAGAAAGAGACTTTCACGAAATGTGTGTAATCCACCAACCCTTGACTTCACAGTGCTGGATTACAGGCATGCGGGGTCTATGAGAAGGCATTTGATTCAGTTAAAAACAACTTTTCATTCCAGATATATTAAATCAAGGCCTAACTGAAATATTCATAGGAATTTTGAAATAAGCAAACTCCAAAATGATACAAATCAGAACAAATGTCAAGATAGGATGCACGCTGTCTTCAACACTAGTTGAAGTAACATTAATGATGTTTTCCATAGCTTGTATTGGAGAGATAAAAAGATCGAAGTAGAGAAATAGTATAAATCGTCTCCGGTGTGCTGATGACATAGTCATGATGACAACAAATGGAATAGGGCTACGAAAAAATCTTCAAGAACCTAACAAGAAAGGCTGCAAAGTTTGGCTTAAAGATTAATTCGAGCAAAACAAATGCCACGAAGAGATCCAGTTATCTGAAAGAGAGAAAACAATTCCACGGGGGTGGACATAGTTGGAAAAACAATCAATCATTGAAGGTGGACTGGGATCGCTTTGGTGAACAAAGTAGGTGAGATCCAGGGCATGTTGCAGTGCTTTGAAACAATAATAATAATAAAAAATATTGATAGTGAAAAACATTACATCTTAACACCTGTTTTGTTGCCAGATAAAAGGGGAAAACCTATTCTCATATTTTGGTACGGGCAAAGGAGGTCCCATGATGTAGATGCTCACCCGAGCCCTCATTACTATGATAATATATGCATTGTATTTGTGATGTACGCCTTTTGGCGTCCTCTGGTCTAACACCGTTTTGAGACTCGGCTCGAAAAGAAAGCTGTCTCTGGTGTGGACCAATCAGTTTCAAAGACAATGCATATATTATCAGAGTACGTTTTTGGTTTGTGTTCTGACCAGGAGTATTGTGGTTAATGCAGACATGATTCCTTGTAAAAGGTTTCAGTTTGGTGTTTTACCATCTTAACACCTGTTTTGTTGCCAGAAAAAAGGGGAAAACCTATTCTCATTATACCAATGTGCCTCAAGAAGAGTGCTTTCAATTTGTGTCTATTTCCCGCCATGGTATGTGGATCGACAAACAAGGACACTGACAACAACAACAAAACATTAAATAAAAAACCGAAGTGTGTTTTGGGAATTACAGTAACAGACAGAATAAAGAACACACGGGTCAGATAAGTGATTTTGACTGTTAAAAACAGTAAGTGGGAATTGAGGGAAAGAAAAAGACATCGTTATAAGGGGTAACGGGTGATGGATGAGACTAGAGATAGAACGGCGGCTAATAGAGGGAACATCTCCAAGAGGATGACCACCACTGACATTGAGTAATGAGATTAGCTGATGTGCAGCAGTGGAGATGGATTATGGCATCGCAACACCACGAGGGGTGGTGACAAAGTGGGAGGACCATGCAGCTGTAGAGAGATCACGGCTGTTGATGATGTAGTGTGTTGAATCCTATAACTCTGAAGGTGGGGCTTCATGTTTTGGCTGACAGACACTGAGTGAACGACTTAATCGTCTATAAAATAAAAATACACTTATTGTCAACCCACTGCTGGCTGAAGGCCTCGCCGTGCTGTGTTCACCACAGGGGTTGTTTGGCCAAACTTCACCACACCTGCCAGGATGGGTTTTGTTGGAATATAGAATTTCCACTGTTGAACTCATCCCATTGCACATTTGAGCATGGTGGGAAACATTTCACTTTGGACTTTGACGTAATTTGTCCTGCGCTTTCTGTCCAACTTCTTACGTAATCAGGTGGTTGTGTAAGATAGAACCTTGAGGACTAACAATTCTATGTCCAGGTTGTATCCCATTAAGACGTGCGGCTTTGGTACAATGCAGCAATCCACAGTCATGCCAAACGATGGTTCGCATTCTTTCTCCATGCCAATGATTCAGCAGGGATGTAAATGTCAAGATCTGAAAAGCATTTTTTAAGCTGCTTCCATTATTGTGATATATTTTTAAACGTAACTTTGTGTATGAGTATTACAATACGTGTGAACGTTTAGCATTTTGACGAGTGCCTTGGCAAATATTAATAATACACAAGTCTCTTTGTATTGAAAGGAGCCTTTTGTTCAGAGTAAACAGATGAAGTGCCTGAGAAAAAGTGAATTATTAGTTCATTATTTGGTCGTCTGTGGGGAAATGTGTGGAAAAGTTGTATTATTCCAATGAACTTGCATGGGTTATATAAACTATATAAATGTGGGTTATCAATATTTTCCATGAGCACCTCTGATTTACAAACATAAACAAATGTGTAAATAGCAGATGTATTATCGTATAATTGGAATTGTATGCAAGCACAGATTCAAAAAAACTCACCTCTGTTGTCATTAATGCTGATATAAATGTATACAGGAGGCTAATGTGGCATTGTGAAGGATGGTTTACTCTGCTCTGCATTAGCCGATTGTATAATTTTCTCTTCTAATTTTTTAAGTAAAAAATGTCTAAATATTGTATTTACATTTTTAAGCAATATACTAGTGTGGAAGAGAACAATTTTCTCTTGGTATCCCTGAACCTGTAGTGGAAAAATACCACATTCCTTTGGTAGGGATCCGTCTCTCCATACATACTATGTCCTGTAGAGAATTATGAGAAAGTAGTGCCAATTTTATCGACCCCAAAGAGGCGATGATGATCCTGGCCCCCTGCAATTTAATTCTGAACATTCCTTTTTGAGAGCTCAGCGCCTCTTAACTGCAGCGTCAGTCTCCACGTTTTTTTTGTCTCACGTACAGTAGGCAGCCCCACACTGATCCTGGTCGTCCGCTAGACCCACTGTGCCCCCACCAACGTGTTCATACCCCCTTTGAGTCGGCGTGGCGGGGAGGGTAATATTACATTTCAAATACAATCTTAAAAAAAAACCATGACAATGTGAATTTCCTCTACGAGCGTGGGCTAATTAACAGACATAAGATTATTCGAGCAAGATGGAGCACTTGCTAACTTTGGACTTTTGAATGACAACAACGGTTAGTTGTTTTTTTCTGTGCACTCGCTCATGTATTTTGTTTGTTGGGGGGCGGTTGAACAGGTGAATTAACAATACTAATACTAGCAAAGCATGGTGGCAGTGTTGCGGTTGAAATGCTGCAGAGAAAGTAAATCAAAATCAAGAAAGTAAATGTTTGTGTTTTTGCTTCCCCGGTGCCTCGTCTCACTTGTGCTGTGTTTTCTGTCCACACCAGCTGCTTGGCACGCTTGTCTAATGGACCAACTATGTGTTGCAGTGCCTTGCGGAGGAAACCTCACAGATCAAAGAGGCGCCATTCTTTCCGCTGGTTTCCCAGAACCGTACGATAACAATTTGAATTGTGTTTGGAAAATTACTGTGCCCGAGGGCTCAGGGGTGCAGGTAAGATCTCTCCGAAGAAGTCTCCCATCTAATTTGTATAACGGAATTGGAATTGCCACATTAACCGTGAACCCGCCAATCCCGTGTAACACAATCTCCGATCTCGCAGATGGTCGTAGGCATAATTATCCTAAAAACGGCAGTGCCCAGAGGTGATAAAAAAAATTATTAGCGAAAAAAGTGTAGTTTAACTTATGTTTGAGAGCTCGGCTTAATATGCTCTGACATTGACATAATGATGGCCGATTTCTATAATTGACCATTTTATACATTACTTAAAGTAACCGTGTGTGCACGTATGAGCTTGTGAGTGCGTGGACCAGTGGTTTAATGGTTATCACATTGCAATATAAACCAAGCCACCTGAGCATTGTTCCCGGCCATGGCTAACATAGATGCCAAATATGTGCACGGGTACCAGCACCCCCCTGGTGTGCCATGCCAGTCTCGGTATATGTGCTCGCTAACAGCACTTGCCCCAGCAGTCCATGAATGGCTATCGTGGCAGATCTGTTTGTGTGGAGCCGTGGCACACTTGTTAACACACAATAGTTTAATTCCTGGACATGCTCCTTCGTGGCGTGTTACTTCTGCTCTGAGGCGGAGTGCCCGGCATGATATGTTAACATTATGACTGGGAAGACATGGGTGGCTGCGAATGGAGCTTGCCACTGCACACCCTCATATGCGATGCTGGCCTAGCATGTTCACCAACAGCACTTCTCCCGATCTGTCGTGAAGCCGAATGAGATATTGGCATCTTTGTAATGTTGCGTGCCTTAAGTGTGCAGAGCTAGAAACACTTGCCTTGACAGTCAATACAGCTGGAACAGGGGGAGGGGGTTTTGTCAATTCGAAGGCTGCCACGTTCCAATCTGATCGAAGGATAACTGTGTGACGTCACTTGGTCTGCAGTCCAGAGCCCGTCTGGCTCAGTGCTGCAAGTCAAGCTGAGCATTGCCTCGTGCTGAGTGGAGCATGGCGACACCTTCATATGAGGGACAAGCACGGAGCACATACGTGGGCGATTTAATTTGTAGAGATGTATAAATGACATATCACGTTTGAAAAGTAGACCTGGATACGCGTCAACGAAACTATGAGCAGATAAATAATAACCAAAACGTACGTAGGCCTTAGTTGAGTCCCAAGACTCGTTTTCGGGAGGTTCCTGCGCTGAGATGTTTGGCAATTTCCTCACTGTGCATTGCTCTCGTGAGAGGTAACCATGCCAGCTGGATTAACTCCAAGGATGGGGGGGCAGAAAAATTCTTAACAATCCATTGATATAAACAAAATTCGATTTGATTGCAACAACAGATTGTATGGAAAGTTTTTTTTCTTAAAGATGTGTTTTAAATGTAGTTAGGACACTTACTCTGTTTCCATGGTTATATTGTTCAACTCACATTAGGAGGGCTTTGATTTAAAATTCCAGTCATGACTTGAATCAGCCCTTCATGCCTCCAGGATCAATAACATTCATATTACTTTGGCAATTAGTCAACAGTTGTAGTTAAACTGGACCCTGCCATGTGAATGTTTAATTTGCCTCACTGTCTCAGGGCCACTGTCAGACATTAACACTCCTTCATAGTCGAGTGCAGCATGGATACATTGTAACGTCAATTCGACTTGTCATTTCCCTCTGCTGTTATTGCCAAAGTGGGCAGTTAAACTCTGCTATATTGTTCACAGGCACAGGTCATAGTGGGCTAGTCTCATAGCCAAGATGACACATTTTATAACTTGCAGACCCAAGAAATAACATGCAGAGACAATCATTAAGAACATACACTTGCATTTCAGTTTAAGAAACAGCACTCCTCCTGCGGGCTCTCACCTGGTTTAACAAGGAGCAGTAAACTGCGATTGATCTAGTGGCAGAACAAATGTCCTTATTGATAATCTTATTACCCCCACCAACGATATATTTGTACTGTGGAGAGCTCGGTGTTCAATGCCATCCCTGTGCGCTTCATCTCCAGACTCACTGGTGACTCACACATTCTTTAATCCTTCCTGCACTGCACAGACATTTCCAGGCATTGACTTCTATTTTGCCTTCTGCCACTTTGTTTCCCACAGGTACACGTGCACAGTTTTGCTACTGAACAAAACTGGGATGCTCTAGAGATATATGATGGCCCAGATGCCAATTCTCCACGTCTCGGGAGCTTCTCCGGTAAGAGCAACGCATTTTTGCTACGCTCCAGGTTTTTTTCTTAACCCAAAGGGACTCGCAATACAATATATACAAACAAAAGTTTACGACTCATTAGTTTCATCAGTTGTCCATACCAAAGCTGTGCATCGCAGGCTGATGAGATTTAGGATAGCTGCTTTGACTTCCGTGATCACTGCCAATACTGCCTACTCGTGACGTCACACCCACACCAGAGTCAGTTTACCACAAATATCGCAATGCAATATAATATTGGTCGCAAAAGAGCCTTCGTGTTAGACACCCCAAATCGCAGCCACGGCACGATATGCAGTGCATTGTGGGAGTGCGTGCACGTGGGTCTGTGGAGTGAAATCCGTGATTGTAACACGCTGCTGTAGCCAGGATCTGCGATTTGACACTTGAATTTTCGAATTGCAGAATCAGGTTTCACCTGCCTACATTGCTGTACGTCCCGTTATTTGTTTGATAATTCCATAAATTGTCACGTAATTTGGTATTTTTGGTTACATCATATGACGCTCATTCCTTTGTGATGTGAACTCTCAAATCGGCGTAGGGTGAAGCCCTCCATTCCACGTTCCAGGTCAGCCATTGTGCTTCTGCTACCACAGAGGCAACTAAGTTGCCTCTGTGGTAGCAGTTACATTGGAGAAACCAAACGACATGTCTCGGACCGCATCCGTGAACATAAGGCAGACCTGAAACACGGTAGGACAAACACCTCAGCCGTGGCAGATCACTGTTACAATTCAGTGGGCTCACATGACATTGACTTCTCCAAGACAGAGGTTCTCTGCAAGCCATCTGGCTATCATGAGAGATTCGTTCATGAGGCGATCCACATATACAAACACAGAGACAATTTCAACCGAGAAGATGGATTCTGGCTTAGCAATCATTGGAAGGACGTAATAAACCATTTCGGATCTTAACTGATTGTGTTCACGTTTACGGTGACTTTCAGACCGCGTTCCACTCACTGGCATGGTGCAGTGTGCAGAGTAATGTATGGTGTCGTAATTGTACAGTAAACATATAGCAGTATGATACACATTAGGGTGGGTAGAATAATACATAGTGTTATATTAAAATGGATAAGGCAGCAACTGCAGCAGCAGCAGCAAGTGCAGCAGCAGCAAGTGCAGCAGCAGCAACTGCAGCAGCAGCAACTGCAGCAGCAGCAGAAACTGCAGCAGCAGCAACTGCTGCAGCAGCAGTAACTGCAGCTCCCTTTGATGCTGTTAATCCTGCATAATGCACATGCATATGCAGTACTAATCACATTCCTGCATTTCCCATAAATATGCTAAATTCCTTTTGATATGCAAATTCCTTTGTCAATGCGCCCAGCTTATATATATGCTCCAAGCTCGTGTGCTGTTTCATTCAGACTCTGTCGCCTCGACGGACCTGGTTTTCACCTGAGGACGGCTGCTTGCGTTGTGGCCGAAACGTCGTGAGAATTGTTTTATTTTGTTTTATTTTTATTATTTTATTACTTCCCTTCTACGTGACTTTACCGAAAGAACAAAGAAGATGAATCCCTGCAGTCACGAAAGCTTTAAATCGAAATGTGATTTTTTGTTGTTGTATATAGCCGAACGTGGCTTTTCTTTGTATCTAGCGTTTAGATTGGTCTCTTTTCACAAGCCAATTTCAGACACTGCAGATTCAAACCTCCGATAATCATTACCATAACTGCTTCTTGCCCAGGGTATGTATCCTAAGTGCATAGGCTCTGTTAATCGTTTAAGCATACCACTCCGATTAGAGCTGTTTGCAACGATGCAGAGCGTAATGGTTAGCATCTGAATGCACTTGCTGATATCTATTCTGTAATGTGCCCTAAAGATTAGAATGGATGCTGGGCCGAGTTGGACTGAACCATGATGCCAGTTCTTGCGGACACTGAAGACGCAAAACAATTGCTATTTTAAGATGTGTGCGGAAATACGTTTTAGTGTGCGTAATAGATCCTCTTTAATATGCTCACGTAAAAATTTAGATTTAAAGCTTTGGTGACTGCATGGATTCATATTCTTGGTTCTTTCGGTAAAGTCACGTAGAAGGGAAACAATAAAAATAATAAAAATCATCACCTGGTGATGATTGCTTGTGTTGCAATCGAAAGGTCGTGAGTTTTTTTTTATTGTTTCCCTTCTACGTGAATTTGCCAAAAGAACCAAGAATATGCTCACGTTTGGACAGTGGTGCAGTTGTTGTCACCCTGTGCTACAGACCCTATTACCTGAGTTCCATCCCCAGCCATGGGGAACATCTATGCTGCATATATCTGAGCTAGTCCTTAGGCTTCCGCGAGTTAAACTCAGCCTAAATTGAGTAGCTGGTGCGGTGTGTAAATATTCGCACTTGGAAGATATAGTTGGGCATGAATGGTGCTGGCCACTTCACTGCCTCGGGTGCTATGCTGTCCCAAGTTGCCCCAATAGTCTACACAGGCTTTATTTTGGACCATTGTTTTAGTGCATGTTTGTGTGGGGAGCGCTGCGGTGGCGAGATGTTAACTCCCTCGCCTGATATGGAGGAGGTCGTGGGTGCGATCCCGAATCTGACGCCTGTACATTTGGAGATTGTATGTTTCTTTCCCCGTGGCCGCGTGGATTTTACTCTGGGTCTTCCGGTTTAACCCTCCACGTTTATAAACATGAGTATTATTTGACTGCAATAAATGTTCACGTGATTAGCCACTTCGTTGAGCTATCATTTGTGGCCAGGTTGCTTCTGAAAAAGAGCTATATAGTTCCGTGGGCCTTACCCGATAAAAAAAATATATATATTTATTTAATATATTAGTTTCATATCAGATGGCACACAATGATATGATCCCATTGATGTGATTTTCATGTCCTGACCATAATGCGCAACACCAATAGGAATTATTTTCTATACCTGGACTACATTTTCGGAGGTGCACTTAGCCGAAAATCAGTCCCAACGGTGTCTACTCAAGTTCCAGGGAGATAGAGGTGGCCAGATCTCGTGTCAGGCACACCATTTATACGACTATCAAGTCTCTGAGAGCTGAGAGTTAATTTTGCTTTGGCAGCATCTCCCCTGGGCCAGCTGTAGTTATCCATCTGTGGAAATGTACTATCGTGACATTTACACTCTCTCCTCTGAATAATAATCGTAATAATAGAAATGTTAACAACTTGTAACGCGCCACATAGTTTTCGTCCACTCGTAACAAGAGCGAACGACTCAAAGGCGTGAGGAGCCACAGGGAAGTGGGGAAGGCAGCAAGCAAGGTGGTAAGCAGGCTCTAAATCCTTCCCCGCTCCCCTTCCCCAAGCTCTGTGGTCCTTTACATGTGAAGGTGTTATCAGACAATGAAATTAGCGTTTACGTGTGGGAGGAAAGCGGAGCACCTAGCAAAAATAGACATGTGCGAGGGGGCAACACTATCCCATCTAGACGGAACACTTTATACTTGTGGAAGGGTTTCCGCTAGACTGCGGTAGTTCTTAACCTGGCGTGCATGCATCCTCTGGGAGTGCGAGATGCCCTTTCTGGGGGTGCGAGACATGGCCAGATTTTTTTCGAAGGTAAATCATCGAAACGCAAATGAAGCACGGGCACGTAAGTACAACTACTTTGTTTAATTAAACCCTCTATGTATTAACATTTAAACAACAAATTACGATTGAGAACCAAATGGGTGCAGTTCTGCAGTGAAGGTTAAGAACCACTGCGCTAGAGGGAGCTATACAGATCTCCTGGATAGGGAACTTGGCCAACCCACTCCACGCTGGGCAGACGTCTTCGAAGAGGTGGGAGTTACCAAAACGCTACCCCTCTACACGCAACCTGCCGTTTCGCTAACTGCGGTGTACCCCTTTGATACAAATGGATGGAAACAAGATGTGAATGTGGGGGTCTGCCGGATTGCAAGTCCAATGTACGAACCATTATACCACGGGGCAGCATTCCACTCGTATTTCGTCCATGTTGAAAAATGAAATGCCTTCTCACTGTAATTTAATAACACGTGATTTTTTTTTTACACCCACAGGTACATCCATCCCAGCCCTAATTAACAGCACGTCGAACCAGCTGTTCTTACATTTCCATTCCGACATCAGTGTCTCGGCAGCCGGCTTCCACTTGGAGTACACAGGTTTAAAAAATATCACATTTGTCACGCGTGCCTCTTAACATAACGCAAGCATTGACACTCTTGAAAAATAACCATTCGCGACAGAGGTTTTCACAGCTGTTTACAAACACGACTGTTGTGCATGTGATTTGTATGGATATTTTTGTCACGGGATTTCACGAGCCACTTTTCAATGTACATGGGTCCCTCGGGTAACACGCGGCACACGTTCCTGAAAAACGGAGCGTAAGTCGAATTGCGCTGTATGATGTCTAATTTCCTATAGACATACATGTTATGCAGCGGGATGCGTTCCCGAAGAAAAGTAATTTTAGCCATGGATTTACGAAATACGTATACATGTAATACTTAGTAATAATAATATAATGAACATGCCCAGCCCGTGACGCTGGGCACTGCCATGATGCGGCAGTGACACCACAAGAAATACTTTTTTTAACTTTGTATTTCTATCGTTGAAAATAGATTTTAAATTTGGAAACATTTAGTTTTACAATTAATTTTAGTATGATTCATTTTCTTTTGCGCGTAGCTGTGAAGCGCACAGCGTAAGTGTGAAGTACGTCCCTAAAAGATTAATCACGTAACTGCGAATTCGTGCTAGGGGAGGGAGGGGGCGGACACACATTACGCGAGGGAAGCCTGCCCAGTACGTTTACCGAGCAACCATTTACGAGCGACAATTCGCGGTCAGCAGAAGGGCAGTGCAGCAAAATCCACCGTTGTACCGCACTGCGATTCTACGCTCCCACGTCTATGTTCCCCGCCGCCTTCACCAACCCACCCGCACTGATGCAACGAGGCGAAGTGCGGTCGAACAACCCCCATGACCTGCATGGAGGAGTCCCTCGTCCGCACGGATGGCGCTGTGATCAGAGCGGCTGCCTCACGAGCCTTGGACTCGGGCCCGCACTCCCCTGGACTCAAGTGAACAGTTCAGAATCAGAATTTTTATTTGTACTGGAGGAATCCGATGAGCTACAAAGCTATTTTCCTCGCAGATGTCCAGTACTTTCTTCACAGATGTCAAGTAGTCGCTCTCATGTGAAGAGTTTACTGTCTCCTGCCATTAGAATGTGGAATTTATACCACTAACTCTTACCTCCCAAATGGAAATGAGTAGCATCCCATCACTTTGCTTGAGCAAAGGGGACAAGGTGACTTGACTTTGAATAGACTTTGAGCAACAACATTTTACAGAGCGCTATATATGTATTTTGTGCACATGCAGAGGGAGAAAAAATAAGCGGCTCTCTTTCCTTATCTTGTGAAATCCCAGTGATGTTCATGGCCTCCCATTGTACAACCGTGAAGCAGCATTAAGAATGTTTTTCTCTTTTCCCGGACTGAAATCTAGACAGATTATAGGGGCATGTCCTGTGACGGATTGCACCTTAATCCCTGTCAACCTGGGAGATCCACATTTGTGATTGAGGTTTTGTCTGCTTTCGCCAGATTTTATGATGATGTCCCAAGCATTTGGGCTGCAATAGATGTAGGACAGTATCCCGCAGCTTTGTGTAAATCACCCTCACGGTACGGTTTCAAGCTAGTTATTACGATAGTGAATTAGGTGGTGCGGTGCATTGTATCTTTGAAGCAGTGCAATGCTCTGCTAATTTGTGTGTTCGTTATCAAGTGGTTCATTAATTGGCTTCCTAGCATTTCAGTTGCATGAGTCCTGCGTTAGAAGCTGTAATGCATTACGTTTACTTTGTTCTAGCTGCAAGGAACACCTGCCAATATTGAAATAATGTATGTATGTTCAGTGAATTGTATTAATTGACTTTCAAAATAGCTATTTTGCAGGTGAAAAGGCAGTCACCTATTTTAAGAATTAAACTGTAGGGTAATGTATTAATGCAAACTTTAGCTTAATCTCCATACGATAATCGGTAGGTGTGTTTGGTGAACTCTTCTAAGCTCTATTGTGTCACACTTTCAGTGTTTTTTTGTGGGAATAGCTGCATTTGTCTTGCCATAAGTTGTGCGACGTTGGTATTTTTTTTCTTTATCAAGACGGTCATAATTCTGTCATCTCAGTCACAGTACCGTGCACATGCTGACATGCGCTCGTGAAATGGGAGATCATACAATTCGTGAACATTTGCGTCATGAGTAGATAATATGACGCCTGTGTCCTGCTGACGATTCTCACAATGCAAATTGGAAAAGTGAGCACTACTTCATGAGAAGGCAGACAGCAGTTGTCCTCCAGAGAGACCGGCTCCCACGATAGGAATGTGGACATTTCCACCTCTGTCCCAGTCACCAACAGAGGGGATCATTGGCCAGTGCTCAATAGTGGAGGGGGAGACACACTTTCACTTTTGAGTTCCAACTCTGGGAACGGTGCACGCGCTTCCAAACCCTCCTGTTCCCACGGGGAAGGACGTGAAGACATCCCGAAAGAGACGGACGGACGTGCAGTGGTTGCGCGAGGCTAACAGAATATCATCCAGGCCATCTCCTATCTGGCGTGGGTCAGCGCCTTGTTTGTATTCTGCAGGGGGAGGGGGTCAACATTTTAAACACTGCCTTTTTCCCGAGAGCACTTGCAAGGTGCACCGTGTTGTGCCTTCAAGTGTCCGCTTCATGGACCGCTTCAATATTGGTGTGGCTTGAGTGCATTTGTACGGGACATTGGCTATCTCTCTCCGCGAAAAACAGCGCACCGTCTGCATGCCTGGGGTCATTGCCTTGTGGCTTGGTGACTTACTGAAGCGTAACGTTGCCGGTGGATTGGGATCCATGGATAAAATGCGCCTTACAAGTGTACATTATCATTCGAAGGCCAGTCAATATTTGTGTTCTTTTTATATTTACGTTGAGAATTCGATTTTTTTGAATACGCAGAATACCTGGGGTTTGTTTTAGATTTTTTGATGTTTTTTTAATTGTTTTTCACCAACTATTTCCAAGTTTAGCCAGGTGACATTTTGACCAGAACGCTTGATCCACCATCAGAATATTGTCATTTCAAATAAAGGTTGGGATCAACTCTGCCCATTTATTTATCACCGGTTAATGGTCTCGTCTACCGTATCCTGGGAAGTGTATAGCTGTTGTCCACGTGGCCTCTGCCATGGGAATGCATCATTCCCACTGCACGCTCCGAGCTCTTCGTGGAAACGAGCAAGGCCCCACACTTGTTTGCGCAAGGTGATACTTTTATTTGATTTCACTTCGGATATTTTTCATAGATGTTGGCATTCATTTACATGCTAATTTGACTGTGAATTCCTGAGGAGATTAAATTTGCATTCACAGCATCCCTCTTGAGTCCACTTGAGTTAATTAATAATTCTTAACCTTGGGTACATTATCTGCTGTCTTATAAAAAAAAGAGTCAATTTTGATATGTGTTGCTTACTTTAGAGGTTAATCCATATACAATGGCCTTGTTGTGAGATATTCCATTTGTAAAAATATATCTATTCTTCAATTACGTAAAGCGATTTCGTTGCTGTCTGTGTTGTATGTGATAGAGCCAATGCGTTAAATATCCCTGACACAGTCCTACATGCATTTCCACAAACACATTTGCCAGCCCAGCAAATGTAGCTCCTAATATGTGCCTGTATGTATTCAGCACTGCACTCTGCAGCCGCAGTAATAATGCATTATTATTATTAACGTTACTGAATCTAACCCAGGTGGTACAGTGGATACAGCACTCAACTCTCAATCAGATTGCATTAATCTAGATTAGAAGTTTTCGTGACTGCAGGGATCCATATTCTTTGGTTCTTTCAGTAAAGTCACATAGGTATATTATAAAATAAATTAAATCACAATTTATTTTATTTTAATTAAATCACAATTTCTTTTATTTTATACCTACGTGACTTTACCGAAAAAACCAAAGAGTACAGATTGCATGAGTTAAAATCCGGAACTGGGGGTGAACTAAGCCCATTATATTTCTGTGATAGATAAAGTGAGTACCATTCTATATAATAATATTGTTTGATGCTTACATTGCAATCAGCAAGTCGTGGCTCTGAATCCAGGTCAGATATCGCCTGGGCCCATCATCTTTCATGGTGAATAAAATGTGTACCACTTTTTTAAACGTTAACAGTGGTTGTCTAAAAGGAGTTAACTGGCCCAGAACATAGACATGTGCAACTCCATGCTTGCTCGGAACCGCACATTGATATGTAATACATAATTCCAATTGTTTACCGAGGAAAACCTTGTAGAGTCAGGAGGGTTTGCTTTGGGATGTTTGGCCAATCCAATTTAGAGGTGTTTGACATGGAAGAATTAAGGCATTGTGCATGTGAGCAGCTGACACGCAGCACTGACACCTCCTATCCACCTTGCAGCCAGCCCCCATGCTTACCTCAACAGCCCTGATAGTCACTCATCGAAGCATTAACCAGGCTCAAAAAGTCCTGCTTAGATTTTGAGTCAGTCAGACAAGTCAGTCAGACCTCGAACTAATAACTCTTAGACATTTCACCGACACCTCATGCCAGAATGTGGGTTCGGTCATTGCGAATGTAGGCATTGCCACTTCGCGTACGGATGGGTAACGCGTTTACATTCACTGTCAGCCCAGCAAGGGAGTAGACCATTATCATATTTATCCCATCACCAAACTGGGTTGAGTTCACTTAAGTTCCCATAGAATTATAACGGATTACCAGCCACCTATTCGATGCGGGCTACTCTTTTTTTGAAGCTGACACTGGCAGCCCTAATCAAGTCGCTCCATGTGCTCTTAATGAAATATTCCTTCTTCAAGGTGGCTCGTTTAAGATAGCGCACGTGCCAATGGAACACAGTGGATTCATTGTGGGGCGATAGCGAAAGGCAAAATAGGCATGGGTGGAAAATGGGCAATAATGTATTATGGTGGGTAGATTCATTGGTTATTTAGGGGCATGAAACCTTTCTGTAATGCTGAATATTTTTTTACGGAGAAATTGTTGCAATTTGCAACTAAATCTGACAGCGTGTTTCGTAAATTTAGATATATGATTGAGATACTAATTCGCTCACCGTCCTCCGAGACAGCACGAAATGACTATGGGATGAATGCAATTGCAATGTGCATACGTATGAACGAAATTATGCTGTCTGCTGGAACAAAAGTATCAAATTTTTTGTGTGGGGATCTCTGCACATGTACTTAAATGCTCGTTGAAACACAAATTACATTATGGAAAGAATGTTTCATATTTATTCACGTAAAAAAACGCTGGAGTTGTGCTTTTCCACGTGTGTTTTCCCCATGTATTTGTGTTTAAAAATATATATATAATTATCATGAAATAATTTCGTGCAAAAAATCTAGTATGCACCCATGCAAAAAAAATGTACACCTTCATTGTGTTGCGATGTTATTTTAACCAGAAATTACAGTCGATATGTATTCGAAATTAATCTGGCTTGGAAATGCTGCTGCTGCTGCAGAGCACTCCACCAACAATCGGAAGCTTTTCAGTTCAAATCCCAGTCGGAGGTCTGCTCAGCCCATCGCTGTGTGGGGCTAATACAATTCGTACTCCTTTGTAGGAAACCAACAGCGGTTGTGCAATTGAACGCCAAGTATCTTTTGTACGGATGTGGTCTTGTAAGGAATGATCACCTTTGAGGTTTGACAGGCACTGATTTGTGTGATTCATTTACTCACTCAATCCTCAAAGTTATTTGTTCAGAAAACTACTTGCACTGGGATGTTTGGCAGTTATTACTGGCTGATGCATTTTAACTGGGCTTGGGATATTGCATTCTAATTGAGGTTAAACTTAGATTTGTTTTCCGCCACAAATGTTCAATGGTTCCAATTTGTCTTTTAACCTGCAGCAACAACCTTTCTCCAGCTTAGTTTCTGCAAAGAAGTCACTTGTATATGAGCACCGATTCAAAATGTACGTAACATTTTAGTGCTAACACAGTTGTTGTGTTTGGTGTTTCCCTCAGCCGTCGGTCTGGCTTCGTGCCCCGAGCCAGAAATTCCTTCAAACGGAATCCGTTTGGGTGAGAGATATCTCGTGAACGATGTCGTGACATTTCAGTGTGAACTGGGATACACGTTACAGGTAATAAATCCATACATTTTATCACAAAAAAGAAACGAATTAAGTGCATTGCCCTGTAAAAATCGTATTTCGTTCGTATTAAATGATCAGGTGTTTTTGTTGTACATAGCTAAACTTGCTAATTGGACGTGCGGGGGAAGAGCAAACAAAATAAACCAAAAAGCTGTTTTTTTTTCTTGCCACTGTGTCTTTAATTAATCAATTTACTCTTGGGAGGTTGAATGATATAATATTTTATTACAGTAATTTTTTTTCAAATTATCCATCATCCAGGTCAGATACATCTGGTTAGGTAACACAGGGGTTCGGGTCTTCAACTCACTATCAGATGGCATGAGTTAAAATCGTGGTCATGGGTTGACTCAGGCCATCTTCTCTCTGGTGAATAAAAAAAACAATCAGCACTATGTGGGAAGCCGAAAGTGATTGACTCATGGAGAGACTGGTCTGCATCATATTAATCTGTATTTACATCATTGGCTTGGAGATGCATATGTAGATTAGAAAACAATATACACCCCAATCAACCTGGAAAGAATTGGACTCTGATTCATAATGCAAATCATCTGCATTCCAAAAGTAAATTTTTTTTATAGAAACATTCAACACTGCAATGTATCCCCAACGTTTAAAGTAAGCTTGCAATCAGATACTCTCTCACCTTAATTGTAGCTTTTATACCCGGAGTTATGAAGTGCCAATTTTGAAAACGAATGCAGTGCGAATGAGCAAGCGTTGCTGCAGCGCTTTGTTTTTTTGCAGGGTCATTCACATATCGCGTGTATGCCTGGCCCAGTAAGGAGATGGAACTATCCTCCTCCACTCTGCATAGGTACGTTTACACCTCTGTGTTTGTGCTATTATTGTATTCATTTGTCTGCATCCACGCAAGTCTTGCAGTATTGTAGTTTTTGTCTCGCAAGCAGAAGGTCCGTGAGTCGAATTGCTATGGAGGTGCAATCGAGTACTGTGCAATGTTCCAAGTGACCTGGGTTTGTTTCCAGCTTGAGCTTAACTCCAGTGTCAGTTTCGAATCTGGCTTTGGCCTGGACCTCAGTCCTAGCCTAAAATGAGTACCTGGTATCACACTAGGAAAGTAGGAAGAAAGGTGTCTGAGCGTGAGTGGCGCTCACCATATCACCCCCTTGTTTTATCCATGCCATTCGTAATGGGAGCTCGCTAACGTCACTCGCCCCAGCTGTCTGCGAGTGTGAATGGATCAAAACACATTCCTGCGGAGGGAGCTGGTAGGAACGTTGGGTTGCTCGGTCAATGGCCAGGGTCAAGGGCAGCGTGGTGTATTCCGCAAATATGGCCGACTGTGAGGGCGGGCACAAGCCGGCATGAGTAGGTTAAACGTTGAGTTTTATAAGGGCACCACGGGGTGACCAGCCCCTCCCCACCCAGCCCCAACCCTCCCTCCCACCCCCCACCCAGCCCACCCTCCCCACCCAGCCCCTCCCCACCCTTTCCTCTCCACAAAAAGCCCCACCCCTCCCATGTTTGGATGCACGACGGACGGATGGACACAATAATCCCCTGTGGGCTGGTGTAACTAGGAGGTTCCTACCAGTATTATGGATCTGTCGAAGTGTGTGCTTAGGAACCCTCGCTTAGCCCAATTTGTGAGTAGCTGGATTATAGACAAAGTGACAGCTGGGAGTAAGGATTAGTTGTGTATCGGACAAATTCAGACTCGAGTCCCTGGGGACACTGGCACATCGTATGGTGTGTCTTCCCATTATGGTACATCATTGGATGCTGCATGTTGACATGAGCGCATAGGGACAGCAAAAAACCTCCCCAAAGTAAACCATTTTTTTGTGGTTCATTTATTTTTGTGCTGGAATATAAAATTGTTTCGGTTCACCGGACCAATTTTTTACTTGTATAACCTGCTCAGAACTGTTGCAAAATTTCATAATTGGAAAAGTACTGCAATTACATACTTTACAAAGTAAGTATTTTATTCATAATTGCACGAGCAAGCTTTGCATGTGCACTAATTAATGTTACAACTTGTTTACATAATCTGGAACCTTTGGAATATTTAATATTTTAAATCGGTATATGAAACAAGTTTTTCTGAATGTGGGTGCCACATTAAATAGGGTGCTCGCAGAGGACATTATGTGAGACAAAATCTCGGCAGTCGGCATGATTTCATCATTGGCAATTGATGAAATGAGTACAACTTTAAATAATTATAAATGTTTATTTTCATATGATGCCGTTAATGCAAAGTGCATCTCCCCAATCGGTGAGGAACAACAGATCAGTGGGAAAGAAGCCAGGTGGTGAGCTGCCACCCAACAATTCTCCAGGCTCCTGTGGTCCTCTTCATATTAAGATGTTTTTAATACATTAAGGAATGTTAATACACGTGGGTGGAAATCCATAGCACCCTGTGAAATCCCACACGTGCGACAGTGAAACACTCTATCCCCATACAGTTTGTTCAACAGTTTTGCTACCTTTTGGAGGAACTGGCTTCGAATTTATGAATGCAGAATTCCCACCACTTGTTCAGGGATGCTCTTGGAGATGAGTGCAACAACTCCATGCTCAATCGAGCATGGAGACACTTGGGCTTTTTTTGCCTTTTAATTTTATAAACTATATATTGAAAGTGTAAATAACAACAACAAATATCAACAGAAAATTCAAGTGTTTCAATGGTTATCCCCTGCTGGTGGTTCTGAGCTGGTGGTGAAAATTCATATTTCTGTGGTGGGGACCAAATTATAAATCTCCTCCTGCTCCCCTCCCAATGCAAAAAATGAAATGGTTCAGTCCACAATCAGTGCTTACAATTGTTCATCTGACAACCAGGTCTTATAAAGCCATGTAAGTGTTGGCAATTAAATGTGGATCAGCCGGTTATTTTTTATAGGCAGTCTTGTGGTACGAAAATACCGTATTCTTGCGCAGGTGGCTGTGTAGCTCAGGTCAAGAGCGCTGAACCGGCACCGTTGATATTTCGGGATTGAATCTGTGTTTTTAGCCACCCGTGATTAAACCGGGTTCTCAAGTGTGGCGAATTGATGACTGCACAAAAGACCCATAACGTTTAATTTGGTTTTTGATTCGTAATGTAGGACAAAATTGGAGCTCGAAGAATATTTTTTTGAACAATAAATATCAGTTTGACTGTTATGCAACTGATAATCTCATGACAGAGCTTGTGGCAAAGGGTACCGTTGTTGTGGAAACAATTAAAAGACCACTTAAAGGATTTGTTTGAACTCCCGTGAAACTTTCGTTACGTGGGTCGTTCTTCTCCGACACTTGGTGCGGCTGCTCTCTGTGAGTGTTCTGAATATAGATTCGTCATCCCATGACAAACTTGCCGATAGCACATTCGGAATACATGGGAGTGGGGGGTGGGGAGGGGTATTATATTTGCATTCTATTTTATTTTTGCTATTTAGTATTCTCCTGTTTCAAATCCAAACTTTCCAGCGGTTATTAACATCACATATAAAAAATATGAAATGGATTTTGTTAAAAGGCAGGAAAGTAATTTGGGGAATCTTAAACTTGTGGAGAATTTTTGGATTTGTTCGCACTCATGTAAGATTAATTTTATATGTGCAGGGGGCTCCTGATTACTTTCTGTTTTGTGTGAATTTTATTGTACGTTCTGGTGGCTTGTTTTGTATTCGCATAAAATGTGTGTAAAGACTTAAGCGTGTGTGGGAATGGGTGGCTCAAAAGTTTTTGCAATTAACTAATAAAATGACGAGGAAAGAAAAATTTAATGAGTCGCTTTTTTAACGAAGTGTTTCGCAGGCTTGCCATTGTAATTCATTAAATTGTGCCATACTTGAAGTGATATTTTTGGAGTGCTTTTCTCTAATTTTGTAAATTTTCACATATACGCCTGTGAGGAATCATTGAACCACAGCTCATTTTTTTGTCAAGGGAGAATAGGGGTGCATTTGCTAGCTGGTATATTTTACAGTTTGAAACTGTGAATACTCAAAAACGGCAGTCAATTAATTTTAAGACCAATGTAATTCATTAATTGTGCCATACTTAAAGTGGTATTTTTGGAGTGCTTTTCTTTGGTTGTGCACTTCCCTCCCCGCCCAGCTGAACCAGAGAGAGATATTCCAAATTATCATGGAAGGTGGGGGGGCATGTTTATCTATAGAACAACTATTATGAAACCGACCAGGCGGTGGTGGCTATGCACCTGGCCTGTGAACCCGCTCCGTGGAGGAAGTAGTGAGGGGATTATGGGCGTCAAGGAGGTTCCATACCCCTGGCTCCTCAGGAGAAGGCGGTGCAGCAAAATGTTGACTCCACCTGTACCACCTGTACCACCTGTATGGGATAGAGTGTTTCCCCCTCTCACGCGTGAGTTTTCTCTGGGTGATGCAGATTCCTCCGGCTCGTTAATTGGCCTGTAACACCTTCGTATTATATACTTTGCCTCTCGTGGTATACGTTGTGCCCTTATCCAGTTAAAATTAATTCAGCTATCAACGCACAGTCATGCTCAAACTAGTATTGCAGCAACACTGATCTTCACTGGCAGCCCTAAGCCATTACCATGGCAGGGACCATTGAGCCAATTCGGTCAGCAACCAGGATTTGAACCTCCCAACTTATCCTTTCTTCTTATCTTAACTTAAGTCATATAACGCCTTGACAAAGACGCTTAACAGATCATTAAGAATGGTGCATATGAATGTGAATAAACTAGATGAGAGGAAGTAATGGGCGAATCTGTGATGCAGTACTGGGCGAATTTGTGATTCGAGTGCTCTCACCGCAGTAACACCAATGCTGACGCTTCATTTCAAATCACGTGCGTTCACTGGAAGAGTCCCATGCCATCATCTCTCTATAATTGAGAAGCTCGTTTAATGTACGAGCACTCAGTAATGGAAAGAGAATTCGCTGGAAACATCTCAACAGAGTGTTGGGCAATTGTTGGTGCTGGCTGGCTGCTGCCCTTCCACTTGACTGTGGCTCCTCGCATCTCCGAGTCTTTTCCCCTTATTTGAGAGTGAGCGAACACTGAGCGGCGGCGAGATACAAGTCGAACATTATTATTATTGTGATAACAGGCTGAGTGGACCTCTGACTGGGGGGCCTTAACTCGCGCGCTTACGACTGTGACCAAATCGCTATTTAACTGCAGAAGCGCCCGGCCAGATACGAGATTTCAAAGCCCGGGGTTCAAATGAGGTGTTGTTTCATACTTCACATTCCGCTGTGCTCAACAATCAATTGCGGTATGACAGCCACGGCTGTGCGCTTCCTTCGCGCCTTCACACTAAAAGAGGGAGTAGGAAGGACAATGATTGCTGCTTCTTGCCGGCAGTATTGCCGGCTGGTGACACCGTTGACAAATTGCACTGTGAGCTACGTTGTCAGGGCCGGAGGGAAGGACGCCAGAAACCCCCGACCAAAGTTGCGTTAATAAAAGTGGCAGGACGGAGGGGAAAGCGAATATATAAATAAATCTGTCGCACTTGCGAGTGTCCAGCCACAACTCCTGAAGCCAGTGGATCTTCAGCGTATCTACGGAGGCAAAGGCAACTCAAAGTTGATCAATAGAGAGATACATTTGCTGGCTGTGAGGCTGTGCCCAACACGCTGGAGGCCATAGCAGAAAGGTGGGCTGTGTTCAATTGTGTCTGCACCTATGTGCGTGTATGAGTGTGTGATCGGGAGGGTAGTGTAATGGTTAGCACGCTGCGCTATGAACCTGGTGGACCCGGGTTCGATTCCCGCTCACGGCCAAAACCAGGAGACAAATGCGGCCGGACGTGGTGTTGGCCACCCACCCCCTCGTGTGCCGTGCCGGCCATTATAGGTACACGCTAACAGCACTTGCCCCTACAGTCTGTTAAGGCTATACGGGAGTACTTTGTCTTTTTTAATTTAATGGCTCGCTTGCTTTTTTTATTAAGCTTTCGATCGAGCGATGTGCTGTTGAGCTTTTAATAAAATCTTAGAATTTAATGTGACAACATAACCTGTGCATGCTATAACATTATTCGGCTGGTGGGATCCGTGGTTGTGCCGTTCAACTTAAGGTTGCATGGTTTAGACTTCAAATCCCAGTCGGATTTTCATTCGTGATGGGCACGCAATTAGTTGCCTTCAACATCAAAACAGAACATCTGAGAATGCTCTGTTTAACACGTAGGCTATCACAACCAATATCCATAATGCAGGGGTTTTTTATTATGGATGATATTGGCTGTCGCCTGATAAAGCTAGTTGCATTTACTGGCGAAACCTCGTACTCAGATTGTAAATGTTGTGACTTTTCTCTCCAACACCGGTGTGCTGTACTAGTAACGAACTGGCACGTTCTGTTTACGTGACAAACCTTACTAATTGGCTGTGTTGGGTGGTGGCGTGTTTAACGACACATTTACATATTTACTAGATCTAACCCAAAAAAACGTGTATTATGGACGAGAATGCACTGCATGCCACGATGACGTTACAGTTCCCACAAATATTCCGTGCACGGCAAAACTTGAGTTTGGATTTTACTCAGACAATGATTTCTGATGCATTGAAAATGCTTGTAGTTAGCCAACAGCGCTTGTCAGAATCAGAATATGTGAGAATCAAAATCAGGATATTTATTTATACTGGCGGGATCCGAGGAGCTATCACATTTTTTTTCACACATGTCCAGTAATTTCACAGATGTCCAATGTTGAGACTGACCACCACTACTAGGGAATGGGCCATCTGCCCCATGCTCATTTGGGCATGGAGATGATTTCAATTTGACTTTTTATTCCTCCAGTAAAACCTCGCTGAGTGGAAAAATGCTTTTTTCAGGAAGGATCCTCCACTAGGATGCTTGGCTCATAATTTCATGGACAGTTTGGTCATGGGAAGAAACAGTAATGCTTAAAGAAAATTGCACGCGTCTCAGAGAATTACACTCGGAAGTGTGCACAGACAAGTCAAGAACCTAATTTTGCACTTCCATCAGCTGGGCTCCTCACAGCCCAGCACGGATAGAGTTCCACAGCACGTGCTGATCTCTTTGTCTCGCAATAACCCTGCCTGATTGACTCTCTTGCGAAAATCACCCATGATGCCAATTTACGTGTTCTGCTCGCACTGTCCAAACAAGTGTACGCAGGTCATTTATGTACAAAGGGTAATGAATTAGATGACCCTGTTAGATGAATGTTGGATTTTCCACTTCTGGCTCAGGACCAACAATCGACATGAGGGGCACCTGACACTCAGCTGAATAGGGAGACTTGAGTTGAACTCAAGACTTGAGTTGAACTCAAGTCTGAGTCACAGAAGTAGGAACGTTTTACTAAACAAAAAAAAACTATTTGTATTTTACCAGGTAAGGCCCACTGAGCTATATAGCTCTTTTTCAGAAGCAACCTGGCCACAAATGATAGCTCAACGAAGTTGCTTATCACATGGAGATTTATAGTAGCCAAATACTCTAAGCGCATGGCGATTATAAGTGTGGAGGGGAAAACCGGAGAACCCAGAGAAAAATCCACGTGACCACGGGGAGTACATGCAAACTCCAAATATACAGGCGTCAGAGTCGGGATCGAACCCACGAACTCTTGCATATCAAGCGGGGAAGTTAACATATTATCACCGCAACATGCAGGAAAGCCCAAGACTGGTTCAGAGAGGCAGGTTCCCCTGAACTGATATATTCCGATTGCATATCGACCCCTATTCTGTGGTGTACATTGCGTGTATGTTCCCCTGTGTCTTAGCCCAGTGTGGAGGGACCCTGACTGGCATGGGTGGCGTGATTTTGAGCCCTGGCTTTCCCGGGAACTACCCCAGCAACCAGGACTGTGTGTGGCGAATAAAGCTTCCCGTCGGTTTCGGTGAGTTATGGGCAGTGTACGTTTCTGAGCACGTGTGCAAAATTCACAATTAACGAGATATATGTCACCGTTGTGTATGGTAACATTCTGCCCGTCATGGTGCTACAGTTAGTCTCAATGTGCAATCCGAAGGTTGTCAGTTCAAAAAGAGGGAGGTTAACTCTGCTTGTCATCTCTCTGGGTTATGTTAAGCTAGTTCCATACATTGTAGAATGCCAACTGTGGTTATACAATAGAAAGAGCGAATGGTCGATGTGATTTAATCGTGGAATTTCCACCATTGGCTCCTGGCTCAGGGCCACCAATGAAATTAGAACACCTCCGGATGCTTGCTGACATATGATGACGCTTGAACTTGTTAATTAATTCAGGCAATGTTAATTGGTTCTTTACCCTTCTACCTGGCAACAAAACTGACACCTTTTTACAAGGAGTCATGTTTGCATAGACCGCAATACCTGCAGTCATAAATACAAACAAAAGACATAACTCTGATAATGTGCACTGTCCTTCAGAGTTATGTCTTTTGTTTGTATTTATGACTGCAGGTATTGCGGTCTATGCAAACATGACTCCTTGTAAAAAGGTGTCAGTTTTGTTGCCAGGTAGAAGGGTAAAGAACCAATTATCATATTTTTACTGGCAAATGAGGTCCCCATAGTGTCAGGCAATGTTGTTCAACTGACGGCACGCGAGGCCAATGGTGGCCCTTTGTAAATACTACTGGAGCGGCACGTTGAGGATTGTTGTTCACGAGACATAAATAGATACAGATTAGTGAGGTCAGAGAGAGATAGAGAGATAGAGGTAAACAACAGATATAGATGAGAGGGCTGCTGATAACACATACAGATGTGTGAGATTAAAGCGACATAAAAAAGAGAGACGAGAGACCAGGAGACGAGAGTTACGTGGTCACGTTGACGTCACGTTGCCATCTGACGTCATAACGTGCGTAAGTGTGACGCCACACGGCCTGCCAGCCGTTTGCTAATTGTATCGTGTGGCTCAGGGGACAACAGTTGAGAAACCCTGCATTCAGGGTATGTTGTATATTCAGGGAACAATAAACCTAATTATACAGCATGGCTTTTTTTCTTTCATTAATTGAATTTCCAAGCACAGTTGTCCTATTATTATGCAATCTGATGTTGCTTCGCATTGATTTATTTTCCACTGCTTAATACAGTTGCAAAACATAAATATTAATGTATATGTAGCTGAGGTTCGCCTGCAATAGAAGCTTCTTTTGACATTAATGATGGTTGAGTAACATTTATAAATTCTAATCTTCATTTTACCCATGATATACTAGTCCCAAGTGAAATGGAACTTTCACAAATGTCTCAGGACCCTCAAAGGACATTGCTCAGTTTAGTATAGGAAAGTTTGTGAATATTTTTTTTTTATTGCCAGGATTGTCGTAATAAAAAAATAGTAGCAGAGGCTTGACTCTGTCCATCATCCCCCCAGGGCTGATGTTGGAGTAGGCAAATGCTTCGTCTTGCCTTTGGATTTAGTAGGAAGCCACAGGGAACTATGCACTTTTAAATCGAGATAAAAAACGTATTTTTAAAAATTCCTTTTTGTGTTCAGCTTGTTGCCCTTCCCCCGCACCTTTGATTAGCACAGTTGGCTACGTTTGGTGGCGAAAGAACATCCAACATACGTACATTGAATGGGTTTCCACTCTGCAACATACAAATCAGGTGCCCCATTAATCGTAATGCATCTTAAGGTGCGGCCGGCCACACGGAAACATTTCCGCCTTTCTGGGCGTCAAGTGTGCGTGGAGGCACTGTGGAAGCACCCGGGTTGCCACTGCGTTGTCTCGCAGGAGCATACTTCCAGTTTGCCAACTTCTCCATGGAGCCTCTGCACGACTTTGTGGAGATCCTAAGTGGTCCCTCGGAGGTCAGCGGGGTCATCGGCCGATTCAGCGGCACCAAAGCACCGGCCTCCACACTCAGCACGACGCACGAGACCGTCGTGCACTTCCAGAGCGACTACTCGCAGAACAAGCAGGGCTTCCGGCTCGCGTACCAGGGTACGTGCACTCACCGCCTCCTGGAGGGCACGAAAAAAATCATGCAGATCCTTCACTCCATGTCACCTGGGATGGCCAGAATGGGGGTAATGTGACCAACACCACTCCTGAACCAGCTCGTGTATCCCCAGTGTTGATGTTAACACATCGCCGCATCGGCCACTCGTTTATGGCCATGTTGACATGCGGGAAGGACCAAGACTGGTTTAGATAGTCACCACTGGGAATTGAACTCGAGTCGCCGTCATAGTAGCACACTGCACTACAAATTACTGATCCAACAGTATGTTGTGTATATTATGCAAGATGGTGGCCCATCCTATGGGCAGTGTGATGAGACACATGGCACTCATGTGGCCCTCGTCAGACATCAACTTACATGACACTCACCACGCACTAGTTTATAAAAGATGGTGGCCGTCGATAATTAGTGGCTTCACCCGTCATCACACACATCCTACACCATGGCTGAATTTTCTTTTGAAATACAGCCTTGATAGGACCAGGTAATTGTCAAGTGTAGAGCAGATCAGCAGTTCCCAGGGCCAATAACCCAAATTATTGGGTCAATTGTCTTTTTTGCGTGTATTTTAAACCATGTTCACATAATCAATGTATGATAAACGTGACAGATTCATTGCAATTGTTTGAGTGATCTAAGAGGATTTCATGGAAAATACATGCGCATAGATTAACTGAGTTCACATAAGGGTGAACTTCGGGTAACGGCTTTATTCCTTTCCCTCGCGTACAACAACTGCCGTTTGCCAATAAGTGACGGTAACGTCAACATGGTGCTTGTGCCAGGCTAGGTACACTTTGAGGCTACGTGAAGTATTGAAGGCTCGCAGTCAGGAGGTCATGAAACAGACCCAGGTGCCATGGGTTGATTGACTGATATGACTGGTAGATGCACCACCTGTGCCCCCAACTGTGCCAACTTGCTGCGCTTTAGCCACCTGGCACTCCGCTCATTGTTGTGGGCATCACTCTTCCACCCTCCACTGTTGCTCGAGGGCGACTGCCTCCAACTGCTCAGTAGCGTTCTCCATGAGCATCCTCCAAAAGAGGATGATCTTGACACCGCTGGTACTGGTCATTGGCAAGTCCAATTAGCTCCACATCCTTCTGTACCACATCAGTCCATCTCTTCTCTAGCCTATGCCACACCCGTTTATCCCTATTTATTCAGTCAAACAGAAGCTGTGTGGGTACGTGGTAGCTGGGAATGTGGGCAGCCTTGCCTGCCAGAGGAGCTCACTGATGAGACTATATCAATATCTCTCTAGGATCTGTGAGCTCTAACAATCCAATCTGGATGGATTATAGGCAGACAGCCTAAATATTTCAAAGCAACGCAGATGTTAATTTAAAATACTCCACGTTCTGCAAGCATAGAGAAGGGGGGGGCATAACTGTGGCCGAGACGACCTGGAGCTTCGTGTGGAGCGATAGACAAGGTAGCTTCCACACAGCATTACACAGCTAATGAAAATATAATACTGCTCAACTGATTTAGAGTTGAGACCTCTGCTGCCAAACCAGATCTGTTTATAAGCAGACTGCCCATGTACTGAAACTTCTCCACTCTTTCCACAACTACCCCATCATTTAAGTCGAGTGGAGGGTGCATTTGATTACGTAAAATACCCAGGCAGGTGCTTGTTTTTGTGCTGCTGATGGTAAGGCCCCATCTCTCAGTAGCACGCTCCACAGATCAAGTAGCAGCGCCTCTGACTCCTTCTCAGAGTGGGCCGCAATTACCAAATTGTCTGCATGCATAACATGGCTGACTAATAGGAAGCCATCCCTTTATTGCACCTGGGCATCGATCAGCCTCCCATTGTATCTGTGTCCGATGAAAATACATCCACGGAAAGCTGTTTCAACTACTTGGGCCAGAGGACATCCCTGTCACACCCCAAGGTGAACAGAAAATTGCTCTAGCTCTCACCCAAGCGGCTTTACCCGGGCCTGGCCACCATCATGATGGTCCTTAATGGTTGTGAGCAGAGGGTCAGGGACTCTGAAAGTATAAAGAATAACCCAGTGCCCTGGCCTATTTGTGGTATCATAGGCCTTGACTGGGTCCTTAATAGACACAAAGACAAAGATCTCCCATATAGCCTTAACAGACTTTTATGGAAAATGCTGTTAGCGAGCACTGATGAAGGCCGACACACGACGGGGTGGGTGGCCAACACCACGCCCGGACGCACACATGTACACACACACGTAGCAAACCGTCTCTCCAGGAGCGCCACGCTCAAGTTACACCCCCATTTTCATCCTCTGTCTCCCAGTCTCTTCTCAACCCTCCTGGAAGGTTCTACAAGTGTCTCCTCTTCCTCCTTCTTACCATACCTTTCCCTTCTCTCTTAACCAACTCTAACCGTCCTTAATTTCCTTGTTCCCTTTTGCTGCCCTTTTCGCTTAACCAATCCCATGCTTCTCCCCTGACAGCTGTCCTATAGCAGCATTTATTTAAGGGGCTTCAGCGACCCTTACAAATGGATACACTCAAACAACCCATTATTTTGTAAAATAAATCATTCTCTAAACGACCAGGCAATGGTTGTTACCCATTTCCTAAGGCTTTGGAATTCAACACAATAATCAACCTGCTTAATTTGTATTTTACATACTTGCAAAAATCAGGTTGAGATGCCATTGTCAGTTTGCTCACAATGCATACTAAGATCAAATCCTCGTTAATTGGTCCACAACCCAGCCTATTATCTTTATAGGGTTGATAAATTTGGTACCACATTGTGAGTCATTTTGAGGCTGTATCCTACCATGCGAATGTGGAATTTATACCGCCCGTTCAAGGCCACCTAAGCATTTGAGCAAGTCCACTTGTTTGAGTGGAAAACTACAATGGATTTTTTTTGGTGGCAGTAAATTCTAGCTGGATGCCAACTGTTCATAGAATGCTCACCTCGCAACTCATGGGTCGCCATGTGAAATCACCGACCATGGGACTTTTCGGCCCACTATCGCTCCCTGTGACATCTATAAAATAAAGTACCAGTTTGTGAAACGCCAACAGTGGTCATCGTATGCAGCAAGAGGCCCCCTGATTAATTAATTATTTTATTCCAATAAATTTGTCCCTGTCATTCAGAAAGACTAATGTCGGTCGTAACTTTAAGTTCTTAATGTTAAACATAAGCCTAAGCATTCATACAGCCAGTAATAATTGCGTATACAGCCTATACGGATGCAAAATAACTCAATGTAATATTATTGGCTACTTATTTATTTATCTTGCCCCTTTATCTTAATTTTCTCATCAGTGTCCGAGCAATTCTCTTGACATTGCCCAGCGTGTTCCTTAAATGTGGTGTGAGATATTGTTTGATGGCTAAATTCAATGCATTTTTTTCTCTCCAAATCAATATTCTTGACATCTGCGCGGTGACCGACAAAGCCTCCTCGTCTTGTCCTTTAAGCGTAATGCTTGTGCCATTTGCTTTGTGCTACATTTCAACGTCGTTTCATTACCTTTCTCCTTATCACAATGGCAAATGAACAAAAATGTATCTTGAAATTTAACGCATTCTGTAAGCATGGCCTCGCAGAGCTCCTGAGAAGGTCATATGTCTGCACCTGGTTGGTCAAGCATACATTCATAATAATTCATAATAAACGTTATAGATTTTTTATTGCCTCAAGGTTCGGTAAGTTATGGAAACATGGAAGTGATCCCAGATGCTTTTTGGATAATTTGTGAAAACCACTGCCAAGTTCCCATACATATATATATTTTGTAAAGTCTTTATTATATGGTTTGTATAACACCATACCACCCCTTCATGTGCAATCCCGGATTGAATATATGTGCCGGCTAGCTGGCTGATACAGCTTCTTGAAACAAAATGTTGAATCTTTGCCTCTGGGTCTCATTTGTGTAAGCCGTGCATGCTTGCGTAGTGACTAACTTGTAGACGTAAGTTCTTGGAGGCAGTTCTTTAATTAACACCGAGCACACTTTTTACAATACACACCCTACACTGTTACACACTCTGCTTTCTCTCGCTTATACGCAACTCTACACTGGTTGCTCGGCTACACATAACAATAGCCATCTGACACTGACGGCACTGAACTAAGACGTCTAGCAGCACAATATCAAGTGACGACGACAGCGACGAAGGCGGCGAGATGACAGCGATGATGGTGACGATCTTCAGCAGCACGATGGGATCCCACTCCAAACGACAGCCCCGAGGTCCCCTCCCAGGCCCCCTCTTATACTGTCAGCGTGGCCTGGCTCCACCCCCGGCCATGCCCCCCTTCTTGAACCTACTAGCGGGCTCTCGACGTGTCCCTTCCATAACCTTTGCCCCAGATCCCTCTCTGGTCTATCACGTGGTCTGCTGTCAGTCAGGGCCGCTACAAGCTGCAGATCCCCTTCCCTGCCAGCAGCCAGCGCTATGCTGCTAAGTGACCGATTCTATGTCACTACACTTGTATACGTGTCCATGCATGATCAATATTTGTGTTTATGAGTGCATTTTACGTATGGGGAGTAGTTGCATTATGTTTAGCACAAATGCACCACCAACACAGCGACACGAGTTAAATTCCCAGCCATTGACAGCATCGGTGGCACGTGATAGCTGAACTTAACCCTGGGGTCTTCCCTGGGTCGACTCTGCTTCTTAATGAGTAAAACTTTGCAGGATGTAAACATAAGCAATGAAAATATGTGAAGGCAGCCAGACATGGTTCTGACCATGCACCATGACATGGTTAATAGGTGCTCGCAAACACTACTTACCCTACTGGTGTATATAGATTATATGGGTGAGTGGTGCACGTGTTCTCGTATGTATGTGTGCTCATGTGTCTGCGCGTGTATTTGTGTTTTCATCTAAATAATAGAAAAAATACTAATGAATGGGACTGTGTTAACAATGTTAGACACGCGCAAGGAACAAAACATCGCACCCTTCACCAATCTCTGATTATAACACGTTAGTTTGCGATACAGCTTTGGCAATGGCACCTTCACAGCTCACAAACAGGCCTCTCGATGTTGTTCACATATCAAATGATAATTCATCATGACACTCATGCTAAATTACAATTCAGGAAATGGCCCTCTTCAAAGTAGAGAGAGCAGAGAGATGAACTTCGCTGGGGAGATTGTACTTTCAAGTACACAAATCTGTGTGTGTATGTATGCACCTATTTACGTTGTGGTGGAGCGGTAGCGTAATGGTTACCCGCGCTGCGCTACAAACCCGACCCACTCGAGTTCGATTCCCGTTCATGGAAAACACCAATGACGATTAGCTGAACCAGTCGTAGACTTCCCCTAGGTCGTCTCAGCCTCAAAAATGAGTACCTGGTGCGGCGTGTAAACATCGTCACTAGTGAGACAAAGGCTGCCTGCTGTTGTGCTGGCCACCCACCCCCTCGTGTGCCGTGGCGGCCTTCATAGGCGCTCGCTATCAGCACTTGCCCCTCCAGTCTGTCAAGGATTTCTGTCTCCGTATTTATATTGTAAATACACCATGTGCATTCCGTACACAAGGCATTGTTTTAACGACCGTCTTGGCTTGTTGCAGCGTACCAGCTGAGCTCCTGCCCCAACCCTAACCCATTCCGCAACGGCTTGGTGATCGGCAATGACTTTGGTGTTGGCAAATCGGTGTCCTTCGAGTGCTTCCCGGGCTACACGCTCATCGGGCACACTGTCCTCACCTGCCTGCATGGCTACAGCAGGAACTGGGACCACGCCATCCCCGAGTGTGAAGGTGAGACGCAGCCATCTTCCTGAAGGGGTGCCACGGTGGTGAGATGTTAACCACCTCGCTTTGTGTACAGGAGGTCCCACCTACATTTGTTTTAATTATAAATATGTTTTTTACAATAAGATCTTTGTTTACTTAATTATGTATTGTATGAATGATTGTAGCCTTACTGTTTTTTTTATATATTTTAAAGCCCCTTGGGATGACCTGTTGAAAATTGTGCTTGAACAAAGTTGAATGTTTACATTTGTTTTCTTGAGATTATGAATGTACCAGTAATATGCTGTGTAAATACTCCAAGTTTGTGTATGTGTGTGTCAGATGATGCAGTGCTGTGGTTAGACTGCTTGACTCTCAATGGGACAATTGAAAGCTGAAATCCAGATTATGAGGGTTGACTCATCATCTCACTGAGGTTATTGAAACGAGTACCATGTTGTGGGACATCAACAGTGTTCGTCCTATGGAGAGCCTGGCCCATGCCACCGCAATCTATCATTTCCATCACTGGAGATGAGATACGTACACTCTAGCTTTAAAATGAAAATATTACTGGATCTCATTGTTCGTCATCTTCCGTTGGTTATTACATTTTACCAGCTCCTATTCCACTGCACTGTGAGGCTGGTGACCTGGTTTCAACTCCCAACCATGCCTCATATCAGCAAAATCGATGTCTTAATTGGTCTTGGCAAAAGCACTGACCAGCGTGGTTAAGTATGGTCAAGCAACCGCCATGACCGACACAGCACTGGGAGGCTCTAATGGAGCAGTGTATTGACAATAAGCTTTACATTATAATTCTTTTAGCAAAATGCCCAATGCGGAATTTGAGGAACGTTCTGTGATAACCCAGCGATAACCATGAATCGAACCTGGTCTACTGGGTTTGTAGTTACTTGTGCTGACCACTCTGCTATTGCTCTTCATAACGTAAATATATCCCATATAGACATACCGGATCGTCTGGAGCAAGTGCTGTTAGTGAGCACCTGTGAAGGCCGACACTGCACACGAGGGGGTGGGTGGCCAGCACCACGCCCGGCCGCCTCTGTCTACCCAGTATTGATGTTTACACACCGCACCAGGTACTCATTAGAGGCCGAGTCGTCCTAGGGGAGGCCCAGGAACCGGTTTAGATAATAGTCACTGGTGATGGCCATGAGCGGGAATCGAACTCGGGTCACCGGGTTTGTCGCGCGGCGTGCTAACCGCTGCACCACCGTTCTCCTCATACACGCACATGGGCACAAACACGCGCAAACACACAGACACACATGAAATGCAAGCACACACACACCACGGCCGCTATGTACTGTTTCTGCTATAGGGAGCATAGACCAAAATCGCTTCCATCCATCAAATGATGTGGCCACATGTTTCAGTGACTCAGTGCATTTGTGCCAAAGGTCACAGGTTCACTGATCTGAGACTTGATACAAATACTCATCTCTGCACCCATGTTAATCAATCAGCCAGTAAATCTGTCCTTTATCTATAACCATGTAAAACCCGACTGAAATACACTATCTATTTCACACACACACACAAGTCGAGTTGTAAGTCAGCGTCTCTCGGCTCACCCTAGCGATGGCTTGGTCCTCATCTTCTGAGGCAAGGGGTCAGGCAAACTGCGGCTCCGGAGCCGCGTGCGGCTCTCCATTGGAACGCTTCGTGACGTCATTTAATAAGGACCGTCATCTCGGTATTCACATGCATTGTGGCAATTGATATATTGAGTTGTCTTTAACGAATTCGGAAAAAAATGTGCCTCTTCTTGTTACTTTGGTTGCGGACCACTGACCTAGACGGTCCCTAGCCTGCGGTGAAAATTACACATTCCCATTGGCAGCTACCAGTCCCTTCTTGAGACGACCTGACTTCCAACAAAGTGGTACTTGGCTCACAGCTTGCGTGAGTCTTCGCCGTTGCGCTGTACAACTCGAAGATGCGTGTCCGGCTTGTACCACGTGCCGTTCAGCGCGGTGTCTTGAGATTACCCTCCACGTGCTGGGCGCACCTTTAGGAAGGGCATTTTAACAAGCTCCCAGTACGTGGAGGGGAACGTCGGACATCGTGACGAGCAGCGTGACTCAATAACACGTCGAAGAGCTACGTGGCAACTCAGTTTATTCCGCCAGGAAGGTTAATTGGTGTTAATTGAGCGCTTCAAATGATCCAAACTCCACATCTGAGTGAAGGGCTGGAGCCGCGATGCCAAGAGGCTTGATTTTGATTTGTGTAAAATATACACGAGACAAACGGCAAGTGCATACCATTGTTGCACGTTGAAGAAATGTCATGAAAAGCCCGAGTCACGACCAGTTTGATTTTAAGCCCTTGACAGAATTCTGCTGTTAACTGGAGCTACTGCAAATGCAGTTCGGCCTTGTTCTTGCAGCAGTGATTGTCTTGGTTTCCATGCCATTGTTTTTAATTTGTATTTAATCACCGCTTATTGTTTATCCTGTTTTGGCAGTCGCTTTTGGTGTGGGTTTTGTGCAAAACAAAATGTTTTTTGCTCTTGCTAAAATTTGCACATTCCTGTCATGCAATGTCTTGTAACTGCCGCCATTGCCAGGGCCATTGTCGATTCTCTTGAAAGAGCTCCTTGGCTTCACGGGCCTTCGTAGCAGCTGAAATAATCAAGTCTGAGTCTCAAACCTTGGGGCACCCTTCCTAAAAAAAAAATCTAGCAAACAATCAGTAGCTCCGTGAGCGCTGATCGGAATCTGGGCCGTACGTGCTGGCATCAGCACGCTCGGCCCTCCGTGGGCTCTGCTGACCAATCAGGTCTCGTCAGTTTTGCACGCGTGCACACACAAACACGCGTGCTGATATGTACGCGAGTCTTGCTTCATCCTGCGCCGAGGTGCAGATTCATAGCGCTTTGCCAAAGACGGCTTTGTTGGTACTTGATAATAATAATGATGACGACGGTGATGATGATAAGATGACAGTGGCTCTTATGAAGAGAAAGGAAGATGATGATGATGATGGTGGTAATGATAAATTAAGTTGATGTTTATATCAATTGTTGTGGTAAATGAAAGTAATGATGATGGTTATGGGTTGAGCCACCAACCCATAATCCACCCAAATAACACCAATCCCTGTCTGGTGGTTACCCACCAGCCCTTAACCTTGACAGAGCACCCTGCATCATGGCACCCATGGAGTCGTCCTATGGGAGAATCCCAGAATAAGAGCCCACTGATGTGCACCATGGCCAGACGTGAAACTTAAATTTTTCCGGTTTTACGTAAGTGGATTTACAAGGTTCTGAATGAATAACTTGCATCATGAAACATGAAAGGATGGTAAAGCCATTGCTAACAAATTATAAGACTGTGAACCTGGATGACAGCATTTCCTAAATCACTAGTCAAACCGTAGACAGTGAGAGGCTAATTACCCTTTTCGTAAGAAATAAATGGGTGCCACTTGAAGGAAATTCAATATTTTTGTACACTTAATGCTGGTCCCTCCCATGGGAATGTGGAATTTCCATCACAATCTCAGTGCCACCAACTGAAAACAGCAACCACCCGTTTGCTGAGCAGGGATACACTTGATTATACTTAACTTGACCGAACGATAGTACTCAATTTTTGCAAATTAAATATGAGAAACAATGCGTCGATGTGTTAGATTTAATTGTGCACGTTTGTTTTGGCAAATATGACAAACTATGACAAAGCAACCATGTAAACCAGTTTGATAAAATGCAATGCGTAGCACCCCCTTTTCAGCTGATATTGATGGACTGAAATGGGCAAACATTGCTTCACACATTTGCGGAGTGATTGTTGGTCTATCCTAAGGCATCCATGTCCCTGTATACCCCGACTTAATCTTGCGACTTGCTTCCATTACTCAGAAAATTGCCTTTGTAATCACCGCACGGGCAGTATAGAACATATCATGTAATCTGCATACATCCAAGACTACATTAACATCCAGGAATAAATTTGGCGAGAAATATAATCTCATTTACATAAAAAATGAGCTCTTTCTAAAGAACACAGACGATACAATCTAGTTTTGAAATCCATATGCTTATAACATTCTGCTCTCATACATCAGTTCAAGCATTGGGCTTAACACTGCAAATTCTGGTGGTGAAAAGGATATTCGTCTCAAAGGAAATCGCCGAGGTGCATTTCTCTCACTAAAATAGTTACTCTTTAAGCCACGGCTAAAAAATGTCAAAGCACTTTAGTGGAATATCTGGCGGATCAACACACGCACACAGATTATTATTATTTTCTGCGTGTATCCCACCTCCGACGTGACGAAAACATCTGGAACACTTCCATCAAGAGCACTGCATTCTAAACAAGTGCAGTAAACATTAGGTGCTGTTTCAGGGCAATGACCCTTCACAGCACATAGAGAGGCCAGGGCGCTACCTCTTGAAGGGCTATTACACCAAACGTTGCCTAAAATATTTGTTTTTAATCGAGTGTTATTGACGGATGTGTTGAGATACGTTGTTTTTTGTGCACCACTGCGGACGCTGAACCACCAAAACAGGACCCTGCGGGGTGGGCTGGTAGGAATAATACTTAGTACCGGTACAGAGATATCGACCAGGTATAGAGGAGTTAAAGAAAAAAATACTGTATTCTAGTGTAACGTTAATTAAAAGTGTTTGTTTTGACAAGAAACGCTGTGAGATTTAAAGACTCGTAGTCTTTCATTTCCAACACCACCCTCAACACCACCCCTCCCACGGACGGACGGACGGACGGACGGACGGACACATTAATCTATTGGTGGTCTGGTCCACTTCGTTCCTACCAGTATAATGTTCAAGGTCAAGAGGTGGCTTTGAGATTGCAGGGTGTGACGTATGCTGGTGTGCGCGTGTGTGTATGCAGATTTCAAACAATTTTTTTCTCTCTTCTAATGCATTGGTTTTATTCCACACGCTCTGGTTTCTACCGCCGTGTAAATAAACAGATGCTACATTTTTAACATGAGCAGGTGTACTTCAGAAC